CCTCTTATCATATCAGATAACACACCAGTCTACCATGGGTCAGTCATCATATGACATGATGTTTATACACGCTCCACGGAGTAGGTTTACCTTGTTAAATCCTAATGCGATAGTAAAAGGGAAGCAGAAACAAATTGCAACTGGAAAACCAGTTCAGAAGGGAGTTTGATGTTGGTGCAACTGTTGGTGTTAAAAATAACAGAGGTGGTTTGGTTAGGTACCGTATGTGAAAGGCATTATCCTTTAAACGGTTGGGTCCATTGACATACTTGGTTCGAGTAGGAACCACAATTAGATACTGTCATGTGGATCATTCATTGCCAAATGTGCCTGAACCTAATACACAATTACCGGTCGAACCGAATGAGAACAGACCACCTGTTCCCTTGCGCAGATCCCAGCGAAAATGTGAAGCAGGGATAAATTAAACTTGTAGTGCATGCAGTACTGTAATACTGTACCGTGTTCTAGTAAAAGAATGCGGGGAGAGTGTAGTCCTACTTACTTCGCGTAGTAGTTCCTGTACTACAAAATGTGATGCGTATGCGCGCAGCGAATGTATATCGCGTGCACATGTAATTAGGCACTAACGTGGTGGCCAACGTGTATCCTAGTTCTTGGATCCCGGCTGCCATGAGTAAAGACGTGTGTTATTGTTATTGAGTTGTTGAATAAAAGTTGTTGAACCCACGGCCTGGTTCGGTCTCTTCTTCTGTAGCATTGGATTCACTCAACTACATAGCAGCTGGCAGGGAATTAAATTACAACATCTTGAAACAAAACCATGCAGTCTGCTTTTTTATAATCTACACAATCAAAATGACATTGTAACTTATTGTACGTAGAAAAACATTTCATTCTATAATATTACAAACTGGTTTGTTAAAAGAATACAATAATAGTAAATATATCTTACCGTGAGTTTGCCAAAATAACAGTGTACCGATAAAGATCTGGTAAAAATAGTAATTATAATAAATTCGTTATACAATATCCAAGTTTTATATAATCTTTAATTGATCTATTTTAGATAAAAACCAATGTAGTTAAGACCACCATTTCGGAATATTTATTCACTAAAATGTCGAGATAAGCATGATTGTGAATGAAGAATTTCAAACAAATGGCTGCTTCTTAAACATTTGAACACCCGGCCGGTTGAAGAAGCGGTTTGACGCAGTTGGGGTTTCAATCCCTCGCTGTGCATTTCGCTTGTGTCCTTGAGCAAGGCACTTTATCTGCTTTGCTTTTCTCCATCCAGGAGTAGAAATGGGTACCTGGTGGGGCTGCCTGCTCCTGCAGTGCTGAATACCAGCAGCAACACTTTACGTATGTGGACCCAATGACCAGGGAAACGAATTGCCCTAATAAATGCCCATACCAACAGTACCAGTACCGTGTATTAATATACAATTATTAAATACACTTAGTAGGCCTACATTAAAAAGTGAAATTACATTTTAAATAATTATAAGACATAATCAGTATTACATTAAAATGAGTCCTCATTATTATTATTATTAAATTTATATTAATATTATGGCTACAAAATTGGTTTCATTTTGTGAAGCCTATAGTACAAAAAAAAAAACATATAACAAATCTTACGCTGTAAAGTTCCATTTTACAAGATTGAGTTGTGCAGGCCAACACGAATGGTACACGTCTCGTCAGTGAGCATTACCCAACTGGTCAGTATCAGGAGGATCCTCATTTTATATCATTCGATGATAAGAATCTAAACATCAGGCAATACAAATGTAGCATAGACATGCAAATACACACTTGATCGTCTCATCAAGAATTTTTACATTGATAATTGAGTATGTACAGTATTCATGACAATAGGCATAATCGACGTACGAAAGTTTATTAATTTCAAAGGATATTCATAGCCACAAGCTACTGCGATCAATTTTGAATTTATATAGTAACATATTAAAGAAATTTCAGGAATATCAATCTTCTAACACCATGGTATTCGTCAATTAAAACATTCTAAAGAAACTGATATGAAAATACTAAAAATATTAATAGAACATGTAGAACTGTTGATACACATACTTATGCCGGGTAAGACTACACTGGCTTACAGCATGTACTACGACGATAAGGGATCCCTAAATCATCGTAAGTGCCTTTGTTTTGCATAGATTTAATTGATCCAATATGTTTCCGAGAAAGACCAAAATGCAACAAAGTTATACAATATTCGACACAAGGGCGTACATAAGTGCAATATAATTATATTGATCAAGTCATTTAACAGGTACCGGTACCCGAAATTTCTTTAGACGTCGAAACAAGTAGAGTCTTTACAACCCTTTGAAACGATCATGTTAAGATTAGCACCCTACGTGGTCATTCTGCACTAGAATACCTAAACTTTTAGCCTCACTTACTTTAAATAAGGGTTAAATACATGATTACCTAATTAATTACAAGGATACAGGAGTGACAAATTTATAACAAACAGTGGTACAGTTTAGGGTTAGCGTTGAGTTTGCTTTACTCCAATCGACTAGATCATCAAAAAAGCTCTGCATATTAGATGTTTTGGTAAACTAAACTAAAGTCATCCACATATTTGAAATGATCCACTTATTGTGTTTGTACATGCATCGTTAGACCCTAATAAATGTCGCTAGCCTAATTATGTGCCTTGTGGTTCCACATTTAATATGTCCCTATTCTGAAAATTCACCATTTTATTTAACTCCCTGTCTACGGTCACATAAGAAACCAATTAACTAAGATAGAATTTAAGATCTGGTACCTAGTGATATCAATTTGTTTATAGCAGTATGGCATCAAATGGACCGGTTACTGATACATGTGTTTGGGGTGATTGCTTGAGTTTATTTGTGATCAGTTGAATGTCCTATTTGACGCTAGATTATTCAGTGTCAAAATTGTTTTCAAGCAATAGGGCACAATAATTACATGCCCAAAACTACATGCATGAACAAACTCATAACTAATAGGTGATTGGAAATACAATTTTGCTTGTTTACAAACTTAAGGACGTCAGCGTCACACACAATTCGAGCACTGCTATTATTGTTATTATTATTATTATTATTATTATTATTATTATTATTATT